GTTAGTCTAAACATGAGCATCTCTTTCACTTTGAAGACTTTTCATAGAATATTAGTGAGTGTCTTCAAGCTCACTGATTCTGCTAGTTTTTTAACTCTCTTACTTCTCTTGACTGTGCATGCTGAGTGTAATCTTTTGCATCATAATTTTAGTATCTGCAGTTAAAGCAAGCTCAATACTCATAATATCAAGATTTTCACTCAGAGAATCTCTTTTTCAGAGAATTCAGTACTTTAATAATAACATTCAGATCTAGATTCATTGCATCTGAGTGTGTAACTTATATTATAGAAGTCTGATTATCTGTTCTCTACTGAGATATACTTGATTACAGTATTTTCTGTTACAATTGACTTACTTATTTCTGCATAATGAGAATGTTGTATGCTTCTTTCACTGTGTCTGATTATAAGATTAAGCATTTTTATTCTGCTCTCAACTCAGATGTAAGATCATGAATAAAGATCTGTAAATAGAAAGATATTGAAAGCTCTTCATTTAACATAAGATAGTATAAGCTGAAGTGTGTAAAGTATAATATAAGATCACTTACTTATCTACACTTAGTAAAGTGTTTGTAATGCTTATCTTATAAATTCTCTTTCTCAAAGTTATACAAGATTCATTTGAAAAACTCATTTCATATTTATAAGAATGAATATTACTTCAGATCTATAAGATTCATCTTTTTATCAGTCATTTATAATAACTTCACTTTTCTGTGTAGAAACACAGTAGATCTTAAGACTTGTTGAAATTTCATTAACTATCTGTCTGTGAGTTCATATTTAATCTAATAATATGATTATATCTGACTTAGTCAGCTGATTACAGCATCATTTTTTTAATTATTATTGAAGTATAGTGACTTCAGCAGACCTTCTGACTTAATATATTTCATACTCAGATTCTCATTCTATGCAGTGATCTCTGATAATATATACACTTCTGAAGAGATTGTGAACAATTGTGATAAGATCTTCAGATTTAGCATAGTTATCTGTAAATATTCAATCTCTCACTGCAGATCTAAGACCTGATTTTCTCTATTCTTATTGATGATGATGATTATGTCAGTGAAGCTTTTCATAGTGAATACTTGATCTGCAGTGAATGTTAATTGTTATTTAACTTTCATCTCAGTCTGTCACTGTATACACAAGACCTCAATCTCATTTAGAATTCTCATACACATACAGAGCTTTGATTTCAGTTCAGTGATTTCAGCTGCTTTTCTTACTACTTTGAGTAAATTCTCTGAGAGGTTCTGTATATCTTTCAGTTCAGATAGCAGAGAAGAGTGTTATTCATATTAACTAGAAGAGATATTCATTTCAGTGATTTCTTATTAATTGTACAATATCTATTATTATATTACTATATTATTATATCACTATATAATTTCTGTTATTATTATATAACTCTGATGATGATCATCTCTCTCTTTTTATTCTTCTTTTAGATAGAAAGTGAACTTCTTTGAATCTGGTTTATTACTCTCATTTCTTTTCTCACATCTCATTTATTTACATACATGGCATTTTCTTAATAAGTGAAGCAGTATCAATCAGATGCTCTTTCACTCACTACTCTTCATATGCTATCTTTTGAGACATTCTAGAATCACACTGGCATGATAACTATGAATCACTTCATAGATGAAATTATCACATTCTGAAGAAGTCTGTGCTTCTCACCGGTTTTTAGACATGCTATCAGATGTGATTCAAAGGTTGCTTCAGTCAGTGTATAATTACAGGTGTACATCAGCTTCTTATATATTGTATGCTAAATTAATTAGTGGCCGCTATGACTTCTTTACATTTATAAGCAAGTTCGGAAGCGGCCGCGTTATTATCCGACGGTTGTACGTTCTTCCGAACCACCTTGACAGTTGTATGTTCTTCTGAACCATATCTATAAGTTACATCTTTTATAAGAAAAAGATCACTGAAACTCAGTTCTCATTTAACTGTAGTTATAAGACTATTTCTGAAATTATAAAGAAAAAGACATCTGTCTCTAATCTAATTAAGAGTAAGAGATTAAAGTGAAATAGTATCACTGTATTTATAAATATCTATTTCAATCTTATAAAGACTCTGTAAGCTTTTAAGATAAGAAAGTTCTTACAGCTCTTTCTTCTTAATAATCTTTTTATTCTCTATTTATAGAATGACTTCTTCTTATTTTCACTCTTCAGCATGTCTGTAAGAGTTAAGAAGATTCTTATAAATATAAAGATAAACTATTTATAGAAATTCATAAAACTTAGAAAGATTTAAATTTTATAAATACTAGTTAACTCTGATTATAATAGAATAGTCTTAATCTGTGAAGATTTCATCTGAATATTATCTGTGATAATTATATATTCTAGAAAATTAATCTAATAGACACTGAAGTTATACTTTATAAACTTAATATACAGTTCTATCTTATCTAAGATCTTTAATACACTTTATACATACTCAGTGTATTCTTTCTTCTTTATAAAGTACACTATCACATTATTCAGATATATTATCATGAAGATATTCAGATATATATAAAGTATTTTATTAATAAAAGACTGAAATACTATAGAGATATTAGTCAGATTAAAAGATATTACTAGATATTTAAACAATCTTAGTATAGTTTTAAAGACAGTCTTTTATTTATTCTTAGACTGTATTCACAGTTATGTATATATATTAATTATATTCAGTTATATGAATATAACAGCTTCTGTGAGACAGTTGATTATATTCTCAATCAGAGATAAAGAATAGTAACTCTTTATTATCTTGAAGTTCAGATTGTAATAGTTTATATATAATCTGAAATTTTTATTCTTCTTCTTCATGAATATTACAGAGACTTCTATAGAGATTTATAAAGATTAGATAAAGTTATTCTTCAGATTCTTCTTTATATAGATCTGTAAGATCTCTGTCTCATAATAAAAGAGCTTATAGATTAATTCTCAGAAGAGTTTCTACTCTTCTATTAAATTTATTATTAAGTTCTTCTTATAGTAAGAAGAAAGCTCAGCTGTCTTTACTAAGTTAAATATCTCTATAAGATCTCAGTATTTCTCTGATATCTGAAGCTCAGTTTTTATAACTGTGAAGTTCTCAGATATTTATAAAGTTATTATATAGATAAGCTTGTCTTCTCTAATTAACTCTATAGTATTAACTAATTCTATCTTTATAAGTGAGTCTATCAACACTGATTGAAAGTATAAACCTGACTTATAAACAGCTATATATAAATTATATTTTTGAAGTTATATAAGTCTTAAGTATATATTATCTGTAATATCTATAATAATTATAGTTTCTATAAATTCTCTTCAGATTCTGAAGAGATTTTATAATTTAAAGATAACTCTTATAAGTCTCTTAGTTCTCAGATCTGAGTTCTCACAGTCTGCTTATTATAAGAGCAGATTCTCAGTTTTTATTATTCAGTTTATTCACTTCATAAGCTTTAGAAACACTATAGTGATCTGAGATTCTGAGTTTATTAATACTTTTCATACTTATAAGACAGTAGTACTGTAGTGTAGTCTCTTCTTATAAGTAAGTATTTTTATTGAGAGAGTAACAGATTCAGATATTAGCTTTAAAACTCTTAAGAAGACTGTTACTAACTCTGTCTATAACTTCTTAAATTTCTATTTTAATTTATTCAGATAGTTTATACAGAGATGTTTTAATTTAGAATAGATAAAATAAAGTCTCTTTTTCTTAGTCTCTCTATTATATACTCTGTTTATAAGAGCTTATAAAGCTCTCTCTCTCTACTCAGTAGTTAGATATAAATCTCTCTATATCTTATTATTTTTCTCTAATAAATCTGTTCTCTATTATTTTAATTCTTATAGAGTTAGTTAGTGATTCACTCTTTATAAATTTATAACTCTTACAGTAATTTATAAGTAATAAATAAGAGTTATCAATTTCTTCAGAATTAAGAACTTAGAGTCTTACTTAATAAGCTTATTCTATATATTTTTATTCAGTCTCTTTATAAATATCATTATTCAGGTCTTATTTCAGAGCTCTATTTCTACAGATCTCAATTTATATCATAATTTTATAAAGTACTATAAGTAGTTTTTATCAGATTTCTCATCTCTTTTTCTAATATTAATAATTACAGTTCAGATGTTCTCTGTTCAGCTTATAAAGTTCTTCAACTTATTCTCTAAATAGATCTTAAGAATAGATTAGTGAAATCTCTTATAATCATTCTCTAGATAATTCAGCCAGTTCTTAACTTCAGTATAGTAGAGATTTATTATTATATAAATAATAGCTTCTTCATCTTTCATATTACACAGCTAAGCTTGTAAGTCAATTTTAAATATAAACTTATAAAAGCTTTTATAGATTATAATTTAATAAGTAATCTTAAGTAATTATAATTTAAGAAAGTTTCTTTTCAGTTTATAAGTATCTCTGAAGATTATATCTAAAGACTCAGTTTAAGAATGTTTACAGACAGTAAGTATTTCTTATAGAAAAATAGCTTAATTTCATAGAAGATGCTCAAGAATATTCTTTACTGAGATTGATTTATTTGTAAGTTTAAAGAGTTTCTCTGTCACAGATGCAGAGAATGATATTCTGTGAGTAATTAATAAGTTCTCTGAGACTTCTTCTATAAGAGTTATTCATGATTCAGATAACTACTTCTGAAGTAGACTCTTGATTTCATAAAGAGTGACTAAATCACATTTTCAGAGCCCTGTCAGAGTACTCATGAATTCACTGTTGAAGAAATCTGATGATATTACAATCTCTACTGATTTAATAACTGCTTATTTACTAAATCTGTCTTTACTTAAGATTTCATATTCTGAGTAAGTTATTAAGTTCAATAAACATCTACAGGATTAGCTGTATATTTTTATGTGTAATTTTCTATATATATTTTCATCATATAATATATCACCTTAAAATCTAATTGTGTTGTTGAGATATTGTTGAAAATATTTCATCATCATGATGGCAAAATGGCGGGTGTTGGGTGTAAGCGGGCGTTGGGTGGTTGATTACGTTGTCTTTACACATCAAATATCAGTGAAAAATGAATCTTAATGAGTCTCAAATTGATCACTTTTGCAGTGACAAGCCTTATTAACTGCTGTCTATGACATAGATACTGTCATATTGCTTCTCAAGTTACATTATCACAGTTGCTCATCATGATTGTTGATTTTTAATGATATTTGCAGGTCTCTGAATGCTGTACTCTGTACTCTGTACAGCCACACTGAAACATGTCAGTATAATATCATGACTCATTCCAGCATATACAGTACAGATTTAACTTGAATAGGTTTAGATCTATCACTTTTTCAGCTAAATACATCATTGAACTCTATAATATGAATCTGACTGTCAGCTTGGCATGCTTGGCGAGTTGTACAGAGTTATACACAGAATCTACTGAACAGAAGGCCTTATCCGGCCAGGTTAGCATGTATAACCCTGGCCAGAGCTGTCCAGGGCCGTACAAGCTGGCACTGTACGGACTTATACGGCCCTGGACGGGGTCACCGAACAGGCCCTTAGTAGCAGGCTTCACATCTAATGCTAGCAATGAGCTGAATAAAACTACTAAAAATTGAATCTTTTACAGTCAATGATAACAGATTTCTCAGGTTGGCCAATCAACCTCTAACTTCAATGCTTCAAGAATTAGAAAACACAGAGGTTCTCATGCACATAGTGAGGGACCGCACTTACACAAGTGTGATTGCATACGTCACTGATCTTCTGTCATATCATGACAATCAGCTTCGACATAACTTGAATGCTGTCAAGGGTATAGGTGACTGCATTAGTCAGATGTATCATGACTATGATGCTGGCCCATTTGCATTTTCCTTGACTGACCTCCATCAGAGCAATATCTTTGTGGACAAAGACTGCAACATCACTGATATAATTGACCTGGAATGGGCTGCTTCTCTTCCTTTTGAGTTCATCCAGCTCCCGCACTGGCTAGGCGGTAAGGAGCTTGATGCAATCGACTTAGACCCTTACAACAACCATGTTGAAGAATTTACGCGGATCCTCGAAGAAAGTGAAAAGGAAGGTAGAGGAAGCCGAGAGCCATCGATGTAGGTTGTCTCACACCATACGGTCCGGGTGGAAAATCGGGACATTTTGGTATAACCTTGCTCTGCGGAGTCCGCCAGCCCTGCATTCGCTCTTCTACGACAGAATCCAACCCCAGTTCGCTGCGCAGCACTTAAAAGATCAGGAATTCTACAAGATTGTTGGGTTTTATTGGTGTCGCGAAGCCAGCGCTTTCATTCGGGCAAAATGTAATGACAAGAAGAACTGTGACATCCAGCTCAGAGAGGCGTTTCAGATGAACAACTAGGCACAGAAACCGATGTATCGCACTCCAATGCATACAAAGTTCAGCTCCCACTTCGCCTGCGACTTAGGGTACATACTTTCTCAGACTTGGTCCACATTCATATGACATTCAACGACTTTCTTTGGATTTCCCCTTATCGTTGTCGGTAGAACCTTCCCCAACCTGCACGTCGAGGTGTGTGTTTTCTGGGACCCGATCTAAGACATTCGATGCCCGTTTCGCTTTCACAGCCGCGCTGGAGCTAGTGAGTTGCTCCAGGGCCTTGAAATCTGAAACCAAGCCCACCGTCGCCTCTTCTACCTCTGACTCGCGCTGACCTGAACACTGCGAAGGTTTGGATGATGACTGCGTGTTTTCTTCGCATCGTGGGAGTACTCTATGAGTAGGTTGGTTTTGGAACTTGACAAAGTGAAGATGACATACATGCATTTTCTCGCTCTGTCTCTGGTAGAGGTATAAATTCGAGAAGATTAGATCTGTTTTGATTTAATAGAACAATATTTTTAGCCTGGAGTTGAATACGTAGTACTGAATGGAAGCAAGAATCGCTTATCATGGTCCCAGGATGGACTCGCTCGGATGCTGCGCGTATGGTCGCGTCACCTTTCGTTGGTGCTAAATTTAAAAAGGGAATTCACGGATACAACATAATCGGCGTTGATTTGTCTCGTGGGCTGCAAGGCTGCCCAAACTTAAACCCTGTCCAGAAGAGAGAGATAAGGCATTCAGTCTAGCACAACACAGCTGGACGGTTCTTGACTCTTGATGTTTACATGCACCGAGTAGGCGATGTAGCTCCATGAGTCCAAGCTCAATCATTCCGGGGTCATTCTCCCAATAGCTCCTCGAGAACCTGAAGATCGACTAAATAACAAACCCGTTTTCTTCGAAGACAGGAGGTTCAACTGTAGCAGTTCCATTTGCAAGATCGTTGACTCCGGGCTTCATCGACGAACATCGAAGACGACCCTGAAGTCGGTATTGCTTGATTTGGTGTTCCATACGTTCGTTCCCTCAGAAGTGTGCAATAAGATACGTAGTAAACAGATTGAGCCACAGTTCCAACTTTTGGAATATTCTCTAGGACTAATATAGCCTTGTGGTTAGGGCTGGTCGGGGGGGTATCATACATTCTACTTATAACAAGCCACCGGAAAAAAGAAGAAACAGACGAAGGAACTATTAACCCCAAGCCCCTTCAACTTTATTATGATCGAGAGAGTTATGTAATGAGAAAAGAAAAGAAAGAAAGAAAGAAAGAGCCCCCATCCAATGTATGTACGACTAGTTCATCAGGAAGAAAGCCGCAGTGACCATCGACATCGACACGACGGCATATCCGGGGTGTAAGCCAACAGCACCGTTTCCTTGCCCCCCGGAACCCCCTTTGCCAGTCTTGCCGTCTACAGCACCAGAACCTGGTTCAGCCGAGCCAGATGATCCGGTGCCAGCGTTTTGGCTACCAGAACCGCCTAGGCCAGGACCTTTTCCAGCGCCTTTCATGACATATACCTTTGCCGGCTCAGGGATGGCAGGCAGTTTATCACCATCAACATCCCAGCTGGGAGCGTTCTTCTTGGGGCATGGGCTGGCTCCACCGGCCTCATTATATCCACCGTCACCGGCTGGGTTCTTGGCGGCAGCGAAAGGCTTTCTTCAGCGTGTCGAAGTCTTTGCGAGTCTTAACCTTGCCGTCCTTAAGTTCAACCAAACCATAGTTATTGGGCTCCTGGGAATATTCATAGGCGAGACCACCAGAGTAGACGCTGGTCATTTTCTCGGAGTACAGAGCCTTCACTTCGTTCCACTCGCGTGTGTTCGTGTTACAGCCGTACTCCGAGAGGAAAAGGGGCAGTCCATACCCGGAGAACAGCTCGACTTTTTTGTCCCAGCCGGCCTTCTCGAAGGTGGATGGGTCACACCAGGAGTAATCGTTGAAAGCAAAGAAATCGCTGCGCTCGTCATCAGGACCGCAGTTCATGTACTGCGCCATCTGGAGACGGTTGGAGTCGACATCAGCCTGTTCAGAAGTGAAATGCATAGTTAGCACTGGGAGCACCGTTCCGCTCTATATCATAACTTCTACGTCATCCATACCGCAGAGTAGCCAACAGGGACTTCTCTCAAGCCCTGCTTACGGATAAATTGGCGAATATCACGAGTGACTGCTTTGACGTAAGGGGCGGTTTTAGAGGTAGGCCCATCGTTGATAACCTCGTTTCCGGAGAAGAAAGCCTGTAGTCAGCCATTAGCAAGCTGGCAGAACTCAAGCTCCGTTGCTGCTTTAACATACTAGAGTGTTGTCATATTTCGCGAACATTGCGACGGTAGCAAAGACGTTCTGGAGGTATACGTCATTGTAGGAAATCTCGGGTTCTATTGGATATGTCAGAAAAATACAACTATGTTCGGGTTCAGGCCAGGGGCAGGGAAGGATCTACCCATGCGGTTAATAGAATACTTAGGAGTGTTGACATCGAGGACAAGGTAGATGCCGGCATCAGCCAGAGCCTGCATGCACTCGTCGTGGTCCTTGCTGTTGTCGACAGTGTAAATGCGGATAGTGTTCAGGCCCAGCTCCTTGAATTTGGCGATGTCTCGTTTGCATACCTCAGGATCAGCGATGGGATCCTTGACCTTGGAAGCTCCTCCCTGTGAAATAATTTCAGCAAACACAATCCTTGCTTTAGATACTGGGGGTTCAAGGGTCCGTTTAGTCTGGACTAACTGGTTGATAATCGCTATATAAAGCAAGATATCAGATTAGAATGTATTTCAATGTTTTACTAACCAGGGACAGAGATGAAATGGAAACAAAATCGATATAAAACAAAGGGTATTTATCTAGGTGACTTACACTCCGCGTATATAAAAACGCCTGTTTCCCTGCCAGAATGCTATCGAACAAAAAAAGCACAGTCAGTATACCGCCCCATCTTGGGTATTAGGTCCTGGCCATGCCAAAGGTGGTGTGGTTCGAAACATTACCATTCCCCTTGACTGTGACAGGAGTGATTTTGCTCTCTCTGGCCTGGACATTGCTGGCCACACCAGCGAGAGCAGACGATGCCCCGAAAATGGCTGCCGCCAACGCAGACACGGCTGTGGCTTTCATATTGGAGAGAGGGGATCAAGTGTGCGTAATCCGTTGTGATAGCTGTCAATGAGCAGGTTTTTCTTTTCCTTCTCCGCGATTATATTAACAAATGTCCTAATGAGAGACGGAAGATGTTTTAAGTAAAACTTGTATATCAACGAACGAATCGGAATAATATCGAAATGGAACAAAAGGCTACACCGGAAAGAACGACGGGTATAGACCTCTCTTACGAACGATTGAATAGAACAACGAAGGAATGACAGAGAAAGAGAGAGAGAGAGAGAGAGAAAGGAGAAGGAAAGGAGAAGGAAAGGAGGATGGATGATGAGAGAGCAAGACAGTGACGCTCAAAAGCTGGCCAGCGAAAGTGAAACTGAAGGGAAGCAGGGCAGCACGCAAAGTTGGTTGCGTAATCCCACATAGTTATCAGCAGCTCATTGGGCTGACTTGCTCCAGGGACTGGGTTTTTGAAGGCCATTGAAAGCCAATTTGGGACGGGATATCAGTTTCATTGGCTTGTGAATATGGGATATCTGCTGTTGGGTTTACAGCGAGCTTAGCATTAGCCTTCTCTGCAGGCTACAGGGCCTTACAGGGCCTTACAGGGCCTAGCTGGACATGAAGCCGCCCTAAGACGGCCCCAAAGGTTTGGTCAAAGCTAGGGCTTGTTTTGGAAGAGAGAGATCACTATCTCCCCCGAGGAGTTCTCTGGATTCCTTAACCGAACCCCTGGTGCGGTGCTGGAAACTTCAGCGGGAACTCAATTCTCCACTACCAACTCCACTCCAAGATCCATCTATGACATCTAGTTATCTCCGCCTCCACATCTACACCAACTACCAATCAGCAGTCAGCTCTCTAACAAACAGACTTCAAGAGAAGAGAATAGAGATTTTCATTCACTGAATACTCTCATACACAGCAGAATTGAAGATAAATGAGAGAAGCTGACTATCTGATCAAAAAGACTGCAGATTGAAATAAATAAATCTGTTCTCTCTACTCATCTATATATATATAGCACTAATATAAATACAGATAGAAAAGATTACTTTATAGAATATCTCAGCCTCTTTGAAACATTTCATGAAAACTCAGAAATATCACTATATATGTAATATTCAGACTGTGAAGCATATACGATAATATCTTATATTAAATAATATTAAATAATTTTTCACTACAGAAACAATGATGAGATAGATAAAACTCTCACTTATTTCAAGATATTAAATTCTCAGACTGAACAGTATTCTATATATATACACACACTTCTTATCATCTCTAATCATATACAGAGTAATCTTCAAAACAGATAAAAAAATAAAATATAAGATCTCTCTTTTTCTATATATAATCACATTCCCTTAATTATAAGAAGAGAGAAATAGAGATATTAGCAGACGTCATTAATCTATCTCTCTGTCTCAAAGAATATTTCATTTATCATTTCATATCTGCTTCAAAGCATGTAGAAGTATATGTAACTCTGCTGTACTGCTGAATCACCGGCAAACTAGACATGCGCTTTGCAGGTGATATGTGTAATTCATAATAATATTAAAGATCCATATATGAATAAAACACTGTATGTAGCCTGTGCAAAAATATCAAAGCAAGAGACAACTTCTACAGCCATATATATAGAACCACACACTTCCAGGAATTTCGACAGGTGTATAGTTTCCACTATTCACTATCCAGGGTGCTTTGCCCTAGCGTGACGCCACCCGGTCCAACGATCGTCTCGATCTTCGTCGCCGAAACAGCTGCAACCAGCCACTGACGCCGCGGGAGAAATCGTGGCCCTATCGCCCGGCACTTACGTGGCTACTGGCCACACACACACCCTGTTGTGCGGCCTGTTTCCCGAGCTTTTACTTTTGATATTTTCTGTTCTTTTTTTTTTTTTTTTTTTTTTTTTTTTTCCAGATCAGAGTTTTTTGTATTTATTCGAGCCCCTTTCTTTTTCTTTTTGCAGATGGCCCTCTACCTTCGCGGATAATTATTGGATATGTGTGGTTATAAACATGAGACGATACGGATTTCTAGTGGCAAGCAAGACACAGGGCTAACTCCTATTATGACTTTAGCTACTAAGAATAAGGGGGTTGAAGCAGAACAAAGAAGAGCAGAAAAGAAAAGGAAACTGCCTGGGTACTCGCAAATAGCCCTATGCCACTGACAAAGTAACTACAAAATGCGTCAAAAAAAAAAAAAAGAAAAAAAAAAAAAAAAAAAAAAAAAAGAAAAAAAGAAAAAAAGAAAAAAAGAAAAAAAAAGGGGGTAGGAAAAGGGTTGCTAGCTTCTTAGAATTTTCCATACGACAAACCACTGCCATAGGAGGAATCAGCATTCGATGGGGTGGTTGGGGACGACATCTGAACTGCCTTCGTAAAATACATCTTGAATGTTGCTCTAAAATGCGTGAGACCAAAAGAAGAAACGTATAATATAAACATCCGCAAGTAAGCTAAATGATATGAAGGGTAAGATGATAAGATGACAAAAAAATAGAAAACTCACACCATTCCGCAAAAGTTTAGTTCATCCCAACAGCAAACCCATCAACCCTTTCAACCAAATCCTCCCACTCGAAAAAATATAAAATAGTTAACTCGCCCTTACACCTCCTCAATATAATTCGCAGGTACGCTCTTCGTCTGCCCGCCTTTCTCAACATCAGACCACCCATTGCCACTATCCCGATTGACAAGCACAAACCTATCCCCCTCCGCCATGCTCCACTCCGCATCACTGCGCGCTTCATAGTCATACAGCGCAACCACATATTGCAGCTTCTTAGCTCCGCGCTTCGGCGCCACCGCCGGACCGCGCCGTTTGGCCGCAACGCTGCTCGCCAGAGACGCGCTCGAGGTTGAATAGGTGGATCCAGGACGGTCAGCGAGGCTGGGTCGTGGTGAGAAGGCTGGTGATGGGGTGGAGATGCCTTCAACGTAGGAGGCTGGGACGAGGCCGGTGAGGGCGCCCGCCCGAACGCGCATCCAGCCAGACCCGTCTATATTTTTAACTCTGTTAGAGGTTGTTGTATGGTTTTGAGGGGGGAAGGAGTTGGAATCGTCACGGGGAGAAAACATTACCATCTGGTTCAACAATTGTAACCTCACGGCCGCCTTCAACTGTAATCTCATCCTCGCCATTGGCCTCGTATGGGTATAACATTTTGCCTCTCGCTTCGCTTGATTTTATGGATAAGCCACGGCTGCGGCCTCCGCCCCCATCCGCGTCTCCTTCGTTGGCCGGAGGAGGGGGGGCACTGATGTATTGTGCGGGTGGGGGAGCAACAATTCGGTTCCTTCGGGGTGCTGTAGCCGGCTTCGTGGTTGTTGCTGGAGCAGATGCTGGAAGTTCCGTTGGCCCTTCGGCCACCTGTGGGGTTGAGATTACGGATGCAGAGCGCGCTCCGCTAGCGGCGTATCCTGAGCTTAGCGAATTCATAGTATCTCGGCGGCTCAGTGCAGGCAGCTCCGAAGCACCATTTGTCGGTGCGGGGACATCAATTGAAGGTGCTGAGCTGGCTGCTTCTTGTCTTTCTATTTTCAGTTTCTTCTTCTCTTCCTTAGTCTGCTCACCAGGGCATTCCGCTGGGACCTTCATTTCGCATTTGCTGTGACAGGTGTACCCACAATCCCGACAGTCGAACCCCTTTGCCGATAGCCCCCAGATTCTCTCCCCACACAGATCACAATTGGTGGGAATCTTAAATGTTTGTGATCGGAAGTTGTGGTTCTCAGCTCCAAAGGATAAGTCGCCGACAACAGATGTTATAGTTGAAGTTTCAACTTCTGCTGTTAATCGTTTACGGTCCAGAAGGTGAAGGTCTTCTTGCATGGCAAATATCGCCCGAACGACCTCCGCCTCATCCCTCTTATCCCTGCCATCGCGAATGCTTTGCCGTATCTTCTTTGCATTCTCAACCTCTCTCCTCTTCTTATCTGCTTCTACCTTTAGTTCTTTGGCCTGGGCTTTGCTTTTCACGAGTATATTTCGGAGGAAGACCTTTGCAGTCTCGTCAGTGATCATCGCGGCGTCGTCATGCCATACAGGACTCGGCTCAAACTGCACATCTGCAGGGTCTTGCCAATTTGTCATGTTGTGACGAATAAACATGGTCGAATCCAATCTAGGTTCGTTACGCGGAATTTCAGACAGCAGATGGGAAACATGTTGCTCGCATCTGGTCAGGGTGTCCTTTTCCAGTTGGGCAGCCAGCGTCCATATGGAATTCAACTTCGAAACTCGGGTTTCATTGAGATCTTGTAATCCCTATCGTGACAATGGTTATTCAAGATTGTTCATTGGTATTCGAAGGGTGGGGATAGTTCCCATACATTAAGTAGTTCCGGGATATATTCATAATAGTATTTCTCTTTTAGTTTATTCGCTACGTTTATAGAAATTAGATACGTATTCTATTATCAATTAGCATGCACTCACAGACGGCTTGGGAGTTAAATCATACCTTCACATTGTTCATTTCAAGAGTCTGCTGTTGATAAGCCATTTGCGCCTTCTGTTTCCCGTGATCAAAGGAAGATTCTGTTTTCTTCCGTCGGTTTTCTACCTCTTGACAAGCACCGTCATATTTACCCTTTACTTTCTTTAAATCGCTATATGTCGCATCTCGTTCCTTCTCCAGCCTGGTCGAATACTCAACATGGTTCTTTCGGAGTTCCTCGAACCGTGCGGCAGCTTGCTTTAGAGGTTCAGCGATCTGGACGACCAAGTCTGAACCGAAGCGATCGCGGTCTGCCGCTTCCGCCTCAATAGCGGAGAGCTGTGTGGTCCAGGTTGTCAATGACGCAGATTCTAATGAGCCTGGAGTCAACGCTGGAGTATCTCCCACGCTCAAGCTACTCGACTTTTTGGATTTGCGCTCATGGTATTTTCGACATAACCCGGTAAGTTTTGCAGCATACTCTTTCTCGATAGCGCTCCGTTCACGATAGAACTGCTGGACCTCCTCGAGCCATGCAATACCATTTGAGACCTAC